AGATCCGAGGGAGTGTATTCACCTTACTAAAATAATTAAAAAAATTTTTTTTAAATAATAGATATTAATTTAATACTTCATATTATATACATACAAAAAAAATTAGTAAACAGTTATAGCAGTTGTAATAAATAACAATTAACTCAAAACTTAAAACATTCTTCTGGACTTCTTATTTGCCAAAGTAGAAATAATATCTGATGTATTAATTTCTTTCGCAATTTTCTTTTCTATTGATATTATTGCCAAACTTGACAGACGAATTTGAGACATCGTACTTCGAAGATAGTTTTTAATTATTTTGAGTTTAGAAAAACTTCTTTCTGCGGTGGCCACCGTCACTGGTATTGTCAAAAAAAGAAAACAAGCTGTACATAAATCTGGAAAACTTGCTGCTATTAAATAATTGTCTACAATTATAAATTTTGCCAAGTCATGTACAGAATTTAATTTTGAAATTTGATTTTCAAACGAACGTTTAAATTGAATAATTTGGTTGACCAAATCTATTGTTAAATCATGTTCATAATTGTTTACCAAAGAGGTAGTTAAATGTTTAAGTTCATTTTCATTCATTGAACATATATTAATTGGTAATATTGAAGAAAAAAGTTTTATTACTTGGTTCATACCATTAAAACGGTGTTCGAGTTGTTTGATAATTATGTCCAGAGTACGATAATAAATTTGTGTTTTAAAATATTGTTCAGCATCATGGAGACGTTCATCGTTACTTAATTCATCAAAAAATTTAGTTGTTTTTGTTTTTCTTATTTTAGTGAACGTTGGCTCAACTCCCCACGAAATTGCTATTTGTTTAGCTTCCTCAAACACTTCTTCAAATTTATTACGCATTTCTTTTATTTTATTTAAGGCTGTTTGAAGCAGTTCAAAAGCTTTAAGTAAGTCTATATCCGATTTTTGTAGCAATAGTGATACAATTTGTAATGAGTTGAGAATTTTGGATTCGATGACAATTATTAAAATTACATCAAACTTTTGAAAATAGTTTTGAAGACCTGAGGCTTTACTTTTTTCATCTTTATTTCTACCCATAAGTGAAATATATGCTAAAAGTTTTAAAATATCTACGTAAAGCAAACTAAGCGCTTTTAAACAATCATTTCGTGAAGACCATCGAGTAGTACATAGTCTTTTGAGTGAAACAGACACAGAACTCACTGATTTTAAGTGTGCCCACCTTTTAATACTATTTGCAAAATATGAATAAAGGCATTCAAGTTTTTCATAAAAATTTTGAATTTCAGTAATATTTTTAACCGAGTCATTAATTACAAGATTTAAATTGTGAGCGGCGCAATGCACGTATAATGCAAGTGGCTGAGTGTGTTTGATACGTGCTTGTAATCCACTATAAACACCACTCATGTTAGCAGCTCCATCAAATCCAATCCCTCTTAACTTTTTAATATCAATTTTATTTTTTTCAAAATTATTGTATAGTTGCTGTTCCATTTCACTACTCGTTTGGCCCTCCATAATTTCAAATCCAATGAAACTTTCATGTATAACTATGTCAACTGGTTTATTTTCTTTATCATACATCACATTTACATAACGAAATATATGGCTTTGTTGATCAATTTTGGATATGTCTTGTGTTGAGTCAGTAATATAGCTGAAAAATGGAGCTTTTCTTATTTCTAGTAAAATATCATATTTAACTTTATCTCCTAGTGCTGTAATTATTTCATTCTGAATTGCCGGACTTAAATATTTTATGGTTCCTTTAGGTCTTTGGAGTAATTCTGTAAGTACCGGGTCGTATTTACCTAACAATTCGATTATCGCTAAAAATTTACCTTTGCTTTCTGTCTCATTATTTTCTCGGTGGCCACGAAATGGAATATCTTCAGTTGCGAGTGTTAACGTTGTAGCTATAATTCTATCCAATACCAGTTTCCAATAATTTGCTTCATCTCTGATTTGCTTTTCTTGATTTTCGTTTACTGTGTTATGATTTTGAAATGAATAAAAAGCCATGCATGCCATTTTATGAGGTATAGATTTTTCATGTCTTTCAATTCCTCGTGATGTATGGGCCCAATCGTTAAATCCTCGTATCCATTCTTGGTGCTTAATATTATTGTCTCCAAAAAGCCAACAAGGTTGACAGTAACATTTATGGAGCTCCGGTGAATAACAAAGCCACGATCGTGAAATACGCAGTCCAGCTTTTGATACGGTGTAATAAAATGATTCGTCAAAACATCGTCCAACCGCATTACGACTGAAAGGACCACTTGGTCTACAAGGACCATGTTCAACAATAAATTGTTTATCTTCTACACTCAGATGTCTCAGAACTGAATTTTGTATATAATTAGCTATATCAGTAGGATACTGTTTTGTGCAAATGATCGTCATATTTTTACTTAACAATATATCACAATCATCAGTATTGTTCATATTTTGACAAATATCGATAACGTTATTTTTTTCGGAGTTTTCATGTGGTATTTCAAAAACAGATGTAGTTATAGTAGGATTTTCCGAAGTAGATTCAACTGTATTTTTTAAAAAACTGTCTAATTTGGGCAGTTTAGCATCTTTCAATTTTTGTTCTATTTTTTTTTTGCGCTTTTGTGCTCCACTCATAGGTTTACTCATTTTAAAATATAAATTTTAAAAAAATAGAACAAATGAATACGCGTAAACGAACGATAACGAACAATAACGGCTACACGAAAATAAAATCGAAATATACGCGATTGTCATCGACTGACCGACCGACTACTACAAACTTTACGAACAAACTAACAAATAAAGATTTCAAATAATATCAAAACGATAAACGGATAACGTAATCGTAATGATTAATGACAGACGGTCGATTGATAGCCGGTCTATTAATAAATATATGTTAGGAATAAAACCCAACTTTTAACAGTAATGATAATGACTCATGAACATGACGTAAAACGTTAATATAATAATGTTCATACCCATACCGCAGCGAAAAAGGTCGTATACTCGTATCTAACAATTTTGAATTAATAAAAAAAAATGATTTGTTCAATACTATATTAATATATTATAATAGAAAAATATAGGTAGTTTTAAATTTTTATTAATAATTAATAGAAAATTTTTTTTTATTTCTTTGGGCCCCTATACGAACGGGCCCGGGTGCGACTGCGCCCTCTGATCCCTCTTAGTTACGCCACTGCCTGCAGGTACTACATTAGAAATACCAATTGGGGTGTTAGACTTATTATAGTATAAAGCAACAGGATCCGGTTCTTTGATGTCATTTCTTCTTTCAATTGTAGAATGAATGGGTAGATCTAAATTTTAACATTGAAGTAAAATAATGATGATTAAAACAAAAATCTATTTATATTGTTGACTAATAGGACGTATAATAATAACAATGATAATTTTGTTAGGTATATTAATTAGGTATTGATTCTGTTGATCTATTTTATTTACTTTTTGTTTTTTTGAAATCAAAAACGTCAGACACGTCATGTGTAAAAGAAAGTTTTCTAGCTGTAGAACTTTTTTCTGAAAAAAAGACTTAAAATAATTAAAATAAAAATAATTAATTATATTTAACATTTATACCAGCATGGGATGTTGAAGTGCTTGGTTTTGGTGATGGTAGAATAGCAACATCCTGCTCCTCATCAACATGAGTTTTTATTGCTTTAAAATGAGATAAATATTATTAGAAGATATTAAAATTATAATAATATACAACAATTACATTAAAATTTTTTTGGAGATGGCACCTGTAGTTTTTTTAATAGAACCGGCAGATACACATTTCATTGATATAAATGGTTTTTTGGAAACCATCATCAAAGATTCGTTTTCATTATCTGAATCTATTGACAAAGCATAATAAGGTATAATAAATTATTAATAAAATAATTTAGTTTCCAGCCATATTTAGTTACAAACGCAAATAGGTACTACAGCATTACCAGAAAACAGAGGCATTGATGCATTTGATCTCGCTGGTGAGTTTTGTTTTTTCCAATTGGATATATTATCATCATCGTCAGTAAAATCAGATCTATACATAGCAATACTTGCTTTTGATTTTGCTTCACTTAATGATGCTGTTTAAAATCAAACATATAAAAAAATCATTGGTAGTTAATATTTTATAATACCTAACTTACTTATATTTTTACAAAGTACTCGAATTTTAATATATTTAAATTCGACTTCATTTGGTGTATGTCTATTTTTAATATATTTTGGTATCAGTAATTTGTTCTTTGGCCATGCACAATAGTTATCTTTCACCCAGACACTAGGGACTGCTTCTACGCTATTGTCTTTGATAAAATGTACAACTGAATAATTTGACATTTTAAAATATATATAATATATATATTATAAAGTATAAACCTTAAAAAAATAATAAAAAATATTGATTAGTTTGTTTTATAAAATTATTGTCCAAGTTTAATACCTAGTTTTTATGGCAAATGAGTCATAATAACTATAATAAAGAGTACCTACTTTCATTAAAAATAAATGTGCTAAATAATAATTTATCATATTCAATAGGTAATTATTCTATAATAAAATATGTTATAGAATTGATAGTACTTTAACCTGATTGTATAAAACAAACAAAAATAAAATAAAATAGGTACCTACTTAATACTATATATTATTAAACAACATATTATTTATTTTATTTATATTAATTATCATATAGGTGTACATAAGTCATAAAGAAAATATGTTAAATGGTTGATTAATTTTTTAATAATAAACAAGTAATATCTAAGTAAAGGACATATTATCCAAATGTGTACCAACTCTTATAATAATATGAAACCGGTAATAATAGTAATTGTACAATGAAAATTAATTACAGTGGGGAGTTGTTAAATTATTGTTTGATTGTGTGTAGTATAGGATATGCAATTTGTAATTTCTGAGAATTATTTAAAATCATATATTTTTTTAAATTTGTGTTATTTAAATTTATGCAAACTAGTTGATTTGATAAATTGTTAACAATTGGCTATCTGTAACTTAATGCTATTAATTGGTTTAGTAAAAAAAGGCTCAACATTATTAAAAAGCTTAACAATTAACACATTTTCGTGGTCATTCCTATAAATGTTCTCAACTTTACAAATATGAAGTTGGTTTTCTTTAGTAAAACCAACATAGCAATTAGCAATGGACTGTGTATCAATTTTAAAATCATCTATTATAATACATTTAAACTGAGACCCAGTACATTGATCAATAATTGGCCCTTCATTGTGTGGCTTTCTAAAGTCTATGTCTTTTTTGCAAGTAGAATCTTTAAATTCAGAAAATGTCAAATATTCGTTGTAACGCTTTATAACCTGCTCTAGAGGTTTTTCAAATTTCCGAACCATTTTTTTTAAAAACTGTAAAAAGTTTTCAAAAGGAAAACAAGAGCAATTGTCAAGAGCACCATATTGTGCATAATCATCTACAATATGCAACAACCCATGAACATTGTGCGATATGAAGTGTTTCCCGTATAATTTCCCAAATTTATCAACAAAATATATCAACAATTTTTCACAAAAATGTATCAGCTCACTTTCAACGTTAGATGTTAATAGAATTCTAAAGCATATATGTAAACATATAAAATGGGAATAACAGTCTTCGTTAAGCATACCTTGCAACACTATAGGCCCAGAGTACAAAAGAAATAATCTATACTCTGTGGCCTTCCATCTAGGTACTTCATTTAGACCCCTTGGAAGTCTTGAAAAATCTGAAGTAATAAATGGTTTAAGCAGTAAAAGATTATTGGAAATAGTTAGTCCTTTTATAGTCTCTAAACGAACTGACAAAGGTGCTTTTTTTATACTGCCCAACCACAATAAAATCAGTTTTTTCATAACTCCCAAGCACACAAGATGCATGTAATCTAATGGAAAATTAAAAATTATATCTAAATGAGGTATTTCAGTAATTAATGAAACTGAATCAGTTAGGTGATACTCATTGTTTGAGCGATTCAAAAAATTGGAATGTGTTCTTTTGTAAAAACTATTTCCAGATGGAAAGCATACCCTGTTTTCCAAATATACACCCTCGATTGTACACCTCGAACAAGAAAAAAATCCGGTGTGACCCTTAGTCTTCAATATGAAGCTCCTAGCCGGTGCATCACAGCAAAAGCCACTAACAACCACACGTTTCTTACCAAAATCAGTTATTAATCCATTTTTTGATAATTCTTTAAGTTCATTTACCATATCTTTTAAAAATATATTACTATCTTTGGGTTTATCTTTTCCCCAATAAACACCAATCAAAAATGTACAGGAATAACTAGAATGATATTGAACATGTCCAACAATTGGCCAAAATGTACTGCTTGAGCTTTTTGTTAGGGGGAGACCATCAATACCTATTAAAATTTTTATTTCTTCACAATCATTATAACTTATAACTTTTCTTAAGGAATTTAAGCCATTGGAAATGCCAAAGTGATGGTATATTCCAGGGGGAACAGATTGAATAGAATTAGCATTGTTGCAAGACAAATTAGTTTTTAAAATAGTTCTAGCATCCGAAGGAAAACTAACAAAACACTTATGAGATTTTAGAATTTTTAATAATGCAGACAAAGCGCTATTAGTAATATTATTACTAACTGCCCATTGACTTAGCAAATTCAGAATTTTTTGTTTATCATCAGCAAAGAAATTAAATTGCTTTAAAACATCTTCTTCGTCACTATCACTATCAGAAACAAAGTGTAATTCACTTTCATCAATTAATGATGAATTACTATCAAAAAATGAGACAATAGGTAGTGGAAAACTATTTATTGCTTCACTTGTATTACTGGTAAGACAGTTGGTTGGGTTGGGATTTTCTTGCATATATTCAAAGCCATCACCTGTTTGAACCATAGATGTGCTAGGTGGTTGATCTAAATGAAAATTACATTAGCAATAATCGACAATCTGTGATAAGAAAATTTCAGTGGTTCTCATTGATTATTGCTAACTTTTTGTTCTCTATTGCCAACTAATTATCGTACGCTATGAAATCAGTGTTACCACTTTATTATTGTATAAGTTTATTGCTACGTATCATTAATACTCAAATACTCAATATTTGTATTACGATTTACGAATTTACAGTTGTTGTGGCTATACGTGTTTTCACTAATTATTGCTGACATTTTTCCTAGGGTCACTTGTTCACTGCTATTATTGCTGAGTTCTTATTGTACGTATAGTAAAAGTATTCAGATCAATTGCAGTGTGTTGAAGCTACTGTAAGTGTGGAATGTCAGTTAGTCTTAAATGTTATTGTTACAGGTAAAGTAATATTATAATGTATTATAATTATAATGTATAATGTACTATTATAGAAGTGCATTTTCCAAATCCACACAAGAGGTAATGCTATGGATTCGTTTCATTTTTTTTTCTGCGTTGAAATGATCCCCAGTAGGCCTATAGAAAACAACGCTTCTCACAAGTGATTTATTATGTTAGTAGGTACCTATCTTAACTATTAATGTTATTTTGTTTCATAGGTATATATTAAAAAATAAAATATATTTTCCTGTCCATTATACACATCTTGTTATTTGCATCAATTATGAATTCACTATACCTATTAATTATTATTGTTGACTATTGCTCACCAACTAAGAGGAACTTAGTGTTGTAAAGTATTCAAGTTAAACTAGTACTAAATTAGGTGTATGGTATTACTACTAAACTATTTAAATACTTACTATTGGTAGGTACTCACTTAATATTTGTATTTAACTACTCGAGACTAAAATAATTATTAGTGTTATTGTTTTATAATAATTGATCATAGCTTTACTTTTATTTTCTAAGTTTTTAATTAATGTTTTTCCTGGCACAAAAGACATTTAAAATCACTCTGTTCATAGTGTGCTGTTGTGTCTAATTTATCCTCATCAGGAATACAGTCAATCACCATCCAACGGTTGCAGTCCGTGCACTCAACCCATTCAACACCTTTTTTACCACAAACTATTCTATGACTCTTACCAGTCCGGCCACAATATAAGCAGATGTCTCTCATGAAATCAGAATTTTCCAACAAATATGTCTTGAGATACTGCCTATATTCCATAGGTTCGAAAAGCTTATTAAAACATTCTCCTTTCATCAATGTTATGGCATAATATAGTATGTACACTCCACAGTTGTACCAATCTTTTTGTAGCGGAACATTTTGTAATTTATGGGTACTTAAATTCAATTTTGGAAACCATTTATTTTCGCCATACGAACAGAACAGTTTAAGTCCCCTAATCAACTTCTTGAAACGCTCATCGGTCGGATGTCCCATTGGATCCAATATGTAACATTCTTTTTTACAAAAATCTACAAATGCTATTATCCAATGTGTTTCTCCTACATTCCAAGGTATAATGAGAAAACTATTTTCTTTTATAGAAACTTTACCTTTATAATTTTGGTTTTCAATTATAGAATCAACCAAATTTGCTCTGAATATTTGGGTATTTGACTTTTGGCTATATTTCACAGAATAACTAGCCAATATAATAGATATCACAAAATTATTTAGCCACATTTTGTTAAGATCATCCGACCGATAATCGGATAGTGTATCAAAATCTGAAAATAATATATCTGTGTATTCTGTAGTGTTTTTTACGTGTTTATAAATGCCTACTACGTAACTTTTTTCGTCTTTGGTGTCATTGTTTCTGACCATTTTTCTATAAAAATTGACATCTTTTTTTAGTCTGTTAGGGTAAGTATCATTTTTAAATTGTGTTTTATCTATAGGTGAACAGTAACTACCAGGCGTCGTAAATGTTTCTACAGTTTTTACTGCTCTTGGGGTGACCATATTATTTTCTGTTATTTGATTCTCTTCATCACTAATCGTAGTTAAATCAACTACTGTCTCTGTTTTCTCGTTTATAGTTTGAATAGGTTTTAATTTTTTCATATTTGCCATTAAGCTGCCTTGCTTAAAATAACCTATTTTTTATTTTTTCTAGCTCTCCACTGTTCAGCGTCTTCATCGTCGCTCAGATCTGTGACAGTATCTAATGATATGACTCTTTTGTTTTTTCGAACAATATTGCAATCGACATTTTGTTTTTTGGGAATGGCACAACGCGTGTTGGGTATGTCGCACAGGACTTCCTTGGTGACACTTTCTATCCTGTCTCTAGTAAGCCTTATGAAGCGACTACATTTCATACTTTTTGCTTGTAGGCTGTTCCCTTTGAGATAATGAAACCATAATTCTGCACCAGAATTATTTGGTCTATGGTAGACTTTTATTTTGGAATATAACATAAGACAAGTCCACATTGGTATGACGGGTACAACAGATCCCATCAAGTCGCTGAAATATTCTTCGTTGTGAAACTCATTTGGAACGCCTTTACTGTCTGATGTAAATGATGCTTTTATGTCTCTCGACATTTTCGCAAAACGACCATAAAACTTTGAAGCTTTATATTTTCCCTTTGATGATGGGTTTGTTTTCAGATCATCTACCTGCGTTCCATCACAATTTAAGGACAAAATGTTTTCAAAATCTTTGTACTCTTTCGAATTCAACACCGACATATCGCTACTGTTAAGTTTAAGCAGGTAGTCGACGGATTTCTGGACATCGCCATTTTGGTAAGGTGAAAGTATAACAGTGCAAAGTGCTTTAAACCATTTATCCAAATCATTTGCGATTTTCAGGTCGAATGCTGGTGTTACAAAACCAACAATGATACGTGCAAGATCTTTGTTTTTATTATTTTTGCCAACTGCACCATAGTACTTGAACACGTCGTCTGAAATGTTTTTCACCAAGTGACAGCAACACAAATTGAGTATGATTTTTGATTTCATTTGTTTATTTTCGTACAAGTAATCATAACATTGATCTAGGTAGTCAATGACATCTTTGCACCCGTTAAAAGCCTGTGCCAGCGATTTGATTATTGCCGTAGAGAAATCACTAGTAACATTCGCAATTAAATCTGACACGTCAAAGTCGTGTTCTGTTGCAAACCGTTTAAATGCATATAACCAACTGGAAATAGCTATTGTCGATTGATCGGTACTTATGAATTCCGCAATGGCATCATGTGATCGTTTGCTTTTATTACTGCCGCATAGTACAATAAACGTTTTTCTTGTTTTTTTTTTAACGTAGTAGGTCTTATGACTGTACCCGTCGCGTCAACATGTAATGTGACTGGCTTTAGTTTATTCAAAACCATCAATTGTTCTTTACTGAAAATGTAACATTCAAAGTTATGACTTTGAGGGTGTGATACGTATTTCACAAATTCCGAGTTTACAGAAGCCATTTGTACCATATCTACTCTGTCATCGCTATCGAAATCAAACTTACTCAAAGTCTCGTGTGACACTCTGTTATACACACTGGTTGACCTTATTTGTTGAAGGTTCCCTCGTTTTATTTTGCTAGGAGAAGATTTCATAACATGTTTTTGCCTCAAAGCCAACGGTTTTATGTGACCCGCCTCTTTTCGATAACTCATTCGCTCCGGTCCTCTAAGAAAGTTTGTTAATTTTCCACCATGGCTATAGTTTATTTGATTGCTAAGTACATATACCTTAACTGCACTTTCAGTTTTTTTTTTCAAAATCAAACTTAAAACTTTTACAAGTATTGTGTCTGCAGTAACCATAAATGCTAGTGAATTCACCGCTGCTATTTTTATTAACATTTTTTATGGACAGAACACAAGAGTTATTAACGGTTACAAACTTATCTCTAATTAACATATTTCTAAGGTCTAAGGACATTCTACCATGTTCATTAGACAACTTTTCAAGTTCATTCCATTCACAAATAGATAACTCAAAAGTTCCCTCTATGGTGTTAAGATATGAAAAATTATATCTTTTTTCTTTTTTATTTTCTAGATCACCACGTATTGTCAAAGGAAATATGTTTTTAGAATTCTTGGGAAGTGCTTTTGCATCTGCCTCAGGAGTGCTGCAAGCGACAATAGTTCCAGGCAGTTTTATTGGAGTTACAGCGTCGATCACCTCCGCCTCATTTGGTAGCACTATAGATTTCATAGGAGAACAATTATTACCGTCAACATAACTTTTATGATAACTAAAATTAACGGCTTGCGGTGAATGTGTAAATGCCTGTTGCCTGGAAATGTCTACTTCTAACCTAATTGGAGTAGAAGTGATAATATTAGAACAGTTAGCAACCAAAGAGTCATTTGTCTCTTCAATCGTTTGAATTTCACCACATCTAAGGAAACTATTGTTCAAATCGTCAGAGGTCCAATCAAGTTTGCATACACCATCATCAATCTCAAAAGTTTCATTTCTTTGCTTTATCACTGTACACTTGGAAGTCTCTGACTCTGTGTCACAGTGTACTTTAAAATCTAGTTTTCGCCTAACATCCCTTTTCAGTATTTCATTTGAGGATGTGTCAATTGTATCAGACTCTCTATTGCAGCTTGTCAACACTGTTATGTTTTCATTTTCATAAGGATTCTTACCTGAATTGTTGACCGTCAATTTTTCGTAATTGTCGTGGAATCCTAGTTTATTTGACTTACAACTTATGTTTGAGTGTTGACCGATTTCCACTACTCTGTCACAGACATCTAAATTGTTGTCAACGTTAGACTCACTGATGTGTACCGGCAAAAATGTATGTACGCCTTCACCACAATTTACAGATTTAGAGATTTCCTCGTTTATTTGATGAGACCTTTCACTCTTACGGAGTAAACGCATTATGTTCTTTTTACTTTTCGTAATTTTTTTCAGACTACAAATTTCATTTACAGCTCGATACGGACGTAGTACCAACTCATTTTTGTAAGGTATTAAACAGTTTATGTTTGTAGGGATATTATTTTCTGTAGTTCCTTTAATGAGTTTACACAGCGTTGAGTTGCTCGCTGACAATGCTTTTACTACGTCCTTGCTTAGTTTTTTGATATTTTTAGTTTTAAATACCTCTTTGCAAATATCTATTATTCTCGGATCAGACATTTTAACAGATTCGTTTATTATAGATGGGTATTTTAATCTAATGTAATCGGCAACATCCTTAACCCTGTTCTTAAGACTTACTTTTTGAATATGCCCACATATTTTTTTTTTGGCAAGAGATACTTCTATAATATTATCACTCTCGCCAAGTGGGGAAAGTTTTGACGTACCGTTTGTTCCACCGCATTGTTCCATGTCAATGTTATTGAACATGATTAATTGTTTTATTTTAAAAATAAAAAAAAACTTGTTATTAATGAATCGCTGTTTTTATTAATATGGTAATGAAAGATATATTATACAGAAATAGTATTATTTATTAAAAGTTTACAATATACTTATAGTACACACACTAGAGGTGTTTGTATCAATAGTACAGTATACCGTACTTAAAATCAAAGATTTAACCAGGCAAATTGGCTTAGAGTTCCAATACAACTTTGTATACACTCTGTCGTGGAAGTAACACCAAAGATTTAAATTATATAAAATTATAAATCAATGGACCACGTGGGGAATGATAAAAAGGAGTTCCAATACTTTCGTATACACTCCGATGTGGTATATAACCAAAATATAATTATATAATGGTTCCACTTATATTAAAAAAAACGCAGGCTGATAGGATATCTATAATAGTAGTAGGTCGATATTGGTCGTATTGATCGCACAAAAACTGCTACCGCTAAAACAAAATAAAAAAGTAATTACTTATTATAATTAGTTAATTAAATCGTAAAATAATTTTAAAGCCATATGACATTAAACATTTTACTACTATGAAAATAAATTTAAAGTTTCAAAATTTCTCAAAACAATAATTAATGTAAGATTAATTAGTAATAACGTACACCGAATTACTTTAAAAAATATAAATTTTTAGTTATTAGTTATTACATTATGCACTTTGATAATTTGAGCGATTGCATATATAATATAATTTTTTCAACACATAACATAATACGCAGGTACTCACGGGGAATAATCCTAGATTTGTTTCATAATAATAATATGTATTGTATTTAACATTAAGAAAAAGGTATTGGTATATGAATGTAAATGAAATGAAAATAAATAACTTCATAATTAATTTTTTTTCTAACTCTTACGACCCACACGCAGCATAGCAAATTGGTATACAACAGAGCTAATCTTAGTGTTGATAAGTTTAATATTATGATAGTCAATTGAACCATTATCAAAGTTTTCCTTTTTTATGATGGTTCAATTGTTATGCAAGTTGTAAATAAAACATTAAACTTTTAAAATGGTCATATATAGTAGAAAAATTTAAACAGCATAGACAAATAGAATGTTCTTAACTTTAAGTTGTATAATAGGCCAATTCAGTGCAATATTAAACTGCACTGACACCCTCTTAACCCTACTGAAAACAAATTATAATAATTCATTAATTTAATAAAATGTAAAAGTTAAATTTACAAGTTTATATCCCCATTAAAATAATATGAATGGGAATTTGTTAAAAGGAACCCAAGTTACATTTTCTTATGTAAATACATATTATATGCTTATAATTTGTAAATCAAAGACTGATTCAGTAAAATTAGGTACTTACATAAGTTTTTCTTCTTTTTTTTAAGATTGTTATTCATTTGTTTATATTATTCAAGTTTGTTATGTAGTTGCAATTTTATCTATTTAATTTGATGAAATAAATAAGAAAGTATTATGTTATTTTAAAATGTGACTATTATATTAAATTATGATACCTTAAATTAATAAAATTATTAGAATTTGTTTAAAGGTAGTACATCTATGTCATATTACAAAAATTGGTTATTTATAAAAGTACATTTTTTTTATGCTATTTATTTTCTTTTTATTCATATGTAATAATGTGTTCTTATTTTCTTAAGATTTTAGTTTTATACTCTTTTGATGATTTAAATTTTATACACTGTTGAAACATTCAAATCTTTGATAAGAACAATAATATATTATTTTCACGGATGACCAGGTAATAGCAACCAGACCTTTTTAAAAAAAAAGAAATGTTCTGGCCTTGCCTAAAACCGTTAAATTTGACCTAATAGTATTATTTAAATATCAGCAAAAATTTTTTTTTTGTTAAATGCACTAATAGAATAAAACTTCAATCAATCTCTGTTGATTTAATGATGTGACACCCAATCTTCTTGTCCATCGTTCAATTGTGATGCCGTCTGCTTTTCCTAAAAATTTTTTAAAAAATCATGACTATATTATAAATTATTTCATTACAATAAATTTATTTCTTTATGATACCCTCATAATAGACATTATTTGAACTATTTTCATACCGAAAAAATAGTCAACAAAGAAGTTTATAAGTAAACCTCCAGTACCCGTTATACAGACATTTGTTGTCTCCGTCTTAGAAGTGCCACTATGAAAAAACCAATGTGGGTAAAAAAAATTTGTACCCAAGGAGGTAAAATCCCAAGGCTGTGCAAGTTAATGATTTTTTTTTAACTCAGATAAGTTAATTTAATATGCATCAATAACTAAAAGTTAAAAGTTAATTTTTTTATACAATGCTAGTGTACTTAATTTTTATCTAACCTAAAACTAAATTATAGACTACAGTGTTTATCCTTTATAGGTACAGTATTTTCATATAAGTTGGATTCGAATGATATAAATTTTCAACTTCAAAATATTCACTGTAAACATTTTTTGACATGAAAACAAAATAGGCCCAAATAGTGAAATATAATAAAATTAAAAACAAAATAAATTAACTTAACTTACTTCTTAAAATAAATAATTAATTCGTTAATTTCAAGTTTATTAAAAAAAGTAATTTAGTAAGTTAACAGTTAAGTGAATGAAAGGCCAAAAATAACTGTCTAAGTTTAAATTAAATTAACATATAACAGCAGTTTATAGTCTTACAAGCATTTAATTTATTGTCTTGGCCAATTTTAGTACATAACAATAATTTTATTATTTTTAATATTTGACTAATTGAAAAAAAATGTACACTTAAGTTCATAAGTTATCAATACAAATTTTAAAAAAAATTGTTTCCACTATCTAACTGAAAAAAATCCTACCATTTATTAATGTCTTGAACTGACAAAATTATAGAAATGGTAGCCTTGGCACATGACTGTGGCTCACTTATTACTACTACAGCTAGTTATACAAAACATTTTTTTTTTTTTTTAATTACTTGAATATTGTTATCCGTGAAATTTGCAAGACCACTTACATCACATTCTGATCAACTAATGTCAGCCATCCGCTTTTCTGTGACGGAAGTATGGAGGGACCATTGTACACCCAACACCCTTATAATAAACCTTGAACAAATATAATTATATTAACACCACAAAATATTTATATTGGCTTGTAAATGTAATTATTTAACACACACAATCAATTTTGTGTTGTTAGCTATAATATTAGTGATTTTACATATTATTGATCTTAACTATATTATCTGTATCAACAATAATTAATTTTTTTAGTGCATTTCTTAATTTAAATAATACTTTTACATGCTATTAACATGAGCAATGACAAAGTCTAGAAAAAATAAACATGTCTCATGTATAATATACACCATAATAATAATAACAATAATTGTGAAAAATATAACTCACTTGCTATACATGATCCATTGGTTGGTACGCTATATGATTTGATATAAAATTACAGATTCATTGTGGCATTCACCAGTACACCACATCTTTCATTCAATACACCCTTAAAATACATTAAATATTTAATTGATTACAACAGCAACAAAAGAGTAAAAATTGTTGATTTTGTTCTGTAAACTCCAAAAGTACCCAAGACGAGAAAAATCAAGAGCAGTGCATTGAAATTGTCCCATAGTAATATTTTATGATCATATCATCAAACAAATATATTGATAAAAGAACTTCAGGATTTCCACTGACTCCTGTCTAATAAATAGTGAGAATAGTAAGTATTTCAATAAATATAGTGAGTCCAACTTTAAAATATAGTGAGTATTATGTAGTATACTCAAGATATACTTAACTATTGGCAATTAGTATATTAAAAAAACCAAACCATTCAATTTTAAATATAAACCATATATTTATAATTTATTATGTAACAAAATTAATTAAATACATAATTAAACTGAGTAGGTATATAATAATATAGTTATAGTATTAGAATATAATAATTTTCCACTAATGACAAATCCGAAGAAAGAGTTATGTTTTTTTTTCTATATTTTTAAGAGGACTAACACACTGTTTCCAGTTTTCCATACTCATAACATTATTATTTTTGAAGGGTGAAAAGTGAAGACACAGAACAGTGATATACTGATATCACTGACTATATAGTCCTCACGATAACGACAACTATCCTTAAGAGGATGTAACACTAGCATTTGTTGTCTCCGTCTTACAAGTGCGCAACATAGAAAATGTACGCTGAGCAGATCACTTGTAGCTTCGTCAGTTTAAAAATTAAAGTGAATCGACCTATTATGAAACTTGATGTTAAGAACATTATCTGTGTTTGTAAGTGGGTTTTTTACAATAGTTCATTTTTTAGCAAGTTTTGCATGTGTAGTGATCCCTCACTAACGCTTATATTTTTGAGTTCAAAGACGTTGACGGTTGAATAGGAGAAAAGGTTGCAGAGACAAGTTACACAAGTTAGGTATAAGTAGTTTATTAATGTTTTAAAAAGTAAATGTTCACAATTAAGCGAAATATAAATTTTAGCGGCTGATGCTGCCTCTAGTCCTAGTGTTAATGCTCCTACTAATTCATGATAGCATTTTTCAGTTCGCCCAGCAAAACTACGAACGTCCTCGTCGGATCGTTGTCTAATGTTACTAAGTTGTGATTGCAAATAGTTAATTGAATGTGGTGCCCCAAAAACGTTCCTAAGGTGGTTTTTGAGTTCTGACCAGTTCGAGAAATTTCGGTAACGAGTAGCTTGGTAAGCGTCTCCCTTCAGTTTGGATAGTATATTGCGAAATACTACTGTTACAAGATTTTCATGGATATTTTCCATTACGTAGTTACATTCTGTTATATATGAGGCTAGTTCTACCTCGGTACCCCCGCTAAAGTTAGGTATGCCGCGCAAGGCGGAGTCAATTCCTAATGTTACGCTCATGACTGTCGTTTGTAAAGTTTGCGGGTTATATTTAACTACTGCCCAACACCTCGGACTCTCAGACATATACTATATAATTGCTTATTAAAAATAACAACTTACAATGTGTTACTCATTGCGATTTTTGTCTGGTCCTGATTGCTTGCGTGCTGACGGCTCTGCTGACTCGTCGTTGATGCTCCGCTTGGCTTGTTGAGTGAAGTTGGTTGAAGTTGGTGGCTTGGCTTGCTTCCTTCCTATGTATCAGCGTTGTGGATGAACTCGAGGTCCGCTGATGTACTTGGATCCAGGTTGGTTACTGGAAAACTTCCTTCAGATGACCCCACACCTGACACCAAAAGACGTGTAGTGATCCCTCACTAACGCTTATATTTTTGAGTTCAAAGACGTTGACGGTTGAATAGGAGAAAAGGTTGCAGAGACAAGTTACACAAGTTAGGTATAAGTAGTTTATTAATGTTTTAAAAAGTAAATGTTCACAATTAAGCGAAATATAAATTTGAGGACAGAGCGAAAAGCATCTGCCCGAGAAGTTAGTTACGTACAGTATGTACGTAGTGCAAACTCTAAACTAATTCTAATTTTGCAATAGACATCATCTTATATTTATATGAAATCTATGCGGATATAAAAGTACACGGTAGAGTCTAGGAGATGGATATTTGAAAGGAGCCTGGATGTAGATGTTGTTATTGCCAAAAGACCCGAGTGGTTGATTGGCAATTTAATAAGTTTGTTTTCGCATTATTTTGGCAAAGCGAAGATTCGCAAATTAATCGTTAGATTAGTTTTTTAATTGCTCTGTCAAATCCAAGGTTTGAAAAAGATAAGTTTTAATTGTGCTGTCAAACCCAAGGTATTGCAAAAGATTCCTAGTCTTGTTGTTGTCCAGCGTGACATCGTGAGAAATGTAATTATAATATTGAATATATAGGAAACGACTCTGTCGGTTTACTACATTCCTCCCCTCGAAGATGGAAGTCTCCGACTTCCCTTAGTTCAAGAATGTACGAAGTTGTGGATAGCCAGTAGGGCTGTTTCTTGGTGTGAGTGGAAATTCGACTATGTCGACGCTTCTTGTCGACGTTTCTTGGTTCGCACCATGTGGTTCTGTTTCTTCTGGTGACTCTACTTTTGTATAGTTTGTTTTGGATTTAATCGTATTTATAATAAATATGCTTACTGTCATAAAAATTACACTTGCTATGACATAAAGTATGTAATTATTCAGTTCCTGTGAGTTTTTAAGTTCGTCGATACTGTTGTCGACCTTGCGTTGTTTTTCCAGTTGTTTTTTCGATCCTGACACTGTATTTAGGTCCTCCATGTTGTTTGTTTTGACATGATAGTCTTCCATTAAATTGTTAGTCTCTACGCGTGGTGAGTAGCGGTTACGATCTATTATTGACCGTGAGTTGAAGTCCATATACTCGGATTTGTAGTCAACCTTACCCGGTATCAGTATGTCTCTAGTGGCGTAACCTTTGCAGGTTTCGTTTAAGTGTATAATTCCTACCCCTTTGAGTGTGTGGCTAGTTGATTCCTTGTCTTCATCACAGGTAACAAATAGTACGTCATAGTCGGTCACGTATATCCATTCATTTTTAAATCTCTTCTTATGGAATATAGTTGTACCTATTTGCACATGCATTACTTCACAACTGTTCGGAACCTTGTCTGGATCCTGCAATAATAGTACTTCGCATGTGGGTCGTATATTACGAGGATGTAAAGGATTACCTTCAGGACATAATAGGAAATCTCTAGCGTGTTTACAATGAGTGTAGTAAAATTCGTCATAAGTTGCATAGTGTTCTTTAGATTTACTTATAGCTATGTACTTATTACTAGGTTTTATATAAACACAATCATTGTCAATACATACTGGTACAGGTATTAAATTATATAAAATAAAGTCGTTTTGATAAATTAATGGTAAAGTTATTATAAAAACTAAGTTGTCGTTAGCATAATAAATAGCAATATCTGAGAGTTTCACCAGTTCGTAAATGTTAGCAATGTCTAGGTCAGTGGGTAAATCAGTCCCCCCTGGTAAAGATACTTTAATATCTTTGACGTGTTCTAGTAACTCTAGTGGAGTTATTAAACTGATGTATAATTCCTATTTTTGCTTGTTGTATAATTTCTAATATCGTATCCGTTTCTAACATATGTTTGGTAATTAATAAGTTAACGTGTATAAAATGTTTTGTAAAATAATTTTTTATTTGCTGCTCTTTCGTAATGTTTGTTGTTTCGTTCGTGGATAATGCCAATGGTAACATAGTTATATTGTCGTGTGGTTCTAAATTATGTTGTAGTTCTACTACCTTAATTTGTTCTTTTATCAATTTAGCTTGTGAAGTGTTTTTAGCTACTCCTATATTAAAATTGAATTTCTGTATGCATTCTAAATTACATATTCCGTATATTAACCTAGCTGTTTTTGTTACTAGTTTAGTTAAAGCGCTGCGCTTAGTAATTACGTGTCCAATAGAATTTAAGACCTGTGTCTTTTTATGGTGTAAATTTTCAACTATAGCGGTAGTTGAGAGAAGTAAGTTGTTACAATTAAAATTATTTTGTACTGGGTCGTGCATGTGTGTAACGCACAATACTTTCGTTTTTTCTATTACTAGGTTTATGTATTCGAATTCTTTATTATATTTAGTAAGGTTAATGTATGCAGTAAGGTCCCATTGAGATGTTACAAGTTTCAACGGTCCTCGATTTTCGTAGTAAATACCAGAATGTTGAGTTAAATGTTCGTCTGTGAATCGTAATGTGCCCGATGTGAACGGTATTGTTAGTAGAATAAGTCTGAAATCGTTTCAGCTTATTAGTCAAGTCATAGTTTTGAATATTTAATATATTCCTACCTATAAATATTTTGATTTTTAAAATCTAAGTTATTAAATATTAACCCATTCAAATGTATAAATGATATATATATATAAAAAAAACTAATTGATAACCTTGTACCGAATGATAATAATAATAATAATAATAATAAAATAATAAAATAAAATACCAAAGAAAAAGTAAATATAAATTGAATGAAAAATATAAATAATACGTTAAGTTACGTTATAATTCTACCGGTTCAATTTTGTTTTGTTTTGCGCGCACGGCGTCGTTAATTGTATTTTTATGTACTTTGTAGAGTTGTAGAAAGAGGCACCGTGTCCATTGGACGTCTGCTCGTGGATCATGAGCTTCCAGTCCCCCGTGATAGTATAAGTCCTCACATAACAGCGTATGTGCTTCGTCTAGTTTAAGTGCCCTTCCCCTTTTAATGTGTTTTCCTATTGGGATTGACGCTATCGGTTCGTTACTTCCGTAATCAATAAGGAGAAGTACGAAATGTCCATCCATGTGGAGGTCCCACCCACGTAACGAAAATACGGGTCGGTTAATGTTTAATAGTTCTAAAATTTTTTTGTCGGTGCTTCCCTCCCAAGTTAATATGGCGTCGTAACGATCTAATTGTCCTTTTATTTGCGGTTGTGTAAGGTTCGGTGACAATGAGTGGTCCGAGTCGTATATTTGGGCGAGTACGGGGTACAAAGAGGTGGGGTTATCCTTAAATATATGCTGGAAATGTCTAACTAACTGTTTCCATTCGTCGTCCGTAATGGGTCGATTTTCCTGTAAATGCAACGCCCGCCCCTCTAGTTTCGTAATAATTTCCGGTTGATATTGGCCCATGATGGCGCCTGATACCAATATTAATCGATCTCGCCCGCAGCTGCCGAATTCGAAATCTATTATTGCGAACTCAGGTACTTTACTGTAAAATATACTCATTTTAGTCATAAATTAAAACAAAACAAATATTATGTTATTTATGTTAGTATATATATAAATAAATCGAAGTTCAGTTTTAATAAAAATAAGAAAAAAAAATAGAAAAGTAAAATTATGGTTACATTATTAAAAGGTTAGTCGTTTATATACGAATATGTCCGTTGGATCTGTCAATAAATTCTTTTAAGTAAATGCACAGTGGTTTTCTAAGTGGTCGGTTTTCTTTTGTCATGTCATGAGAAAAGTGGTTGAGTGTGCGCGTTATTTCCAGTATTTCTGCTGGCGTGTATGGCCGCAATAAGTTTTTATTTGCTGTATCGATATCGCTACCTTAACACTGACAACACGTATCTGTATTTATGCTACTTTTCAGGAGAGCCAAAAAACTGTCTAATTATTTAAGTAAACTAAATTAAAATATGCTGCTTCCTTATAAAAATAACCAATACCATGTTTGATAATCTAATCAATAATTTTCATAAAAAAAAATGTTTTCAAGCCCAAAGTAGTAGATACGAGGTATTTACAAAATATTATTATTTTAATTTGTAGATACGTGTCTTTTATTTAGCATAATATTATAATAATATAGTACTAATTTACGAACACATTGTGTTATGTAATGAACAAAATAACACTAATTGGAGTGATGTTTAATGTATTGGAAGTTTTAATTTCAAGTTTTCGTTGTTATATCCAAAGATAATATAATATGATAATATTAATATAATATAGGTAATCAATATAACATACCTAAATGCAATATTTTTTATTTATTTTATCATAATATTTAACAAAATTAAAGTACTCAATCCCTGAGGTTTTAATATTATTAAAAACAATACATAATAAGATTTGAACATAAAATAATAATAACAATTCATAATAATGTAGGTAATATAAAAACATTGTAATATCCAGACTTTAAGAAATCAGTCTTAGAAAAAATAATAATGACTGTTCTTCATAATATTAACAATTAATAAATTAATAAAGTACTCAATCCCTGAGGTTTTAATATTTTTAAAAACATTATACATAATAATATTTTGAGCATAAAATTAAAAATAAAATAACAATTCAGAATAATGTAGGTAATATTTAAAAACATTGTAATATCCAGACTTTAAGAATTAATCAGTCTTAGAAAAAATAATAATGACTGTTCTTCATAATATTAACAATTAATAAATTAATAAAGTACTCAATCCCTGAGGTTTTAATATTTTTAAAAAAATTATACATAATAATAATATTGAGCATAAAATAAAAAATTAAAATTAAAATTCATAATAATGTAGGTAATACCTATTTAAAAACATTGTAATGTCCAGACTTTAAGAATTAATCAGTCTTAGAAAAAATAATAATGACTTCTTCATAATATTAACAATTAATAAATTAATAAAGTACTCAATCCTTGAGGTTTCATTATTATTAAAAACATACATAATAATATTTTGAGCATAAAATTAAAAATAACAAATCATAATAATGTAGGCAATATTTAAAAATGTTGTGATGTTTTTATAAATTAAATTATACTTTACCAGTTCTAGCTTTAAATGTTGTAGTATGTGGCAAAGTATCATAGAAAGAATGTGTGTCTTTGGGTAAAAACTTTTTAAGGTTTTGTAGGTCATTCCATTTTGATAGACTGATAGACAATGGTTTACCGTAGAGATTCTTGTAATTAATTGCTGTCATGTCAATTCTAGGATTTCTTCTTAAGGGTAATTCACAATAAGGGTCATCAAATACTAACTTATATAATATACATTTATGTATGGGGTTATACTGTAGAGCTCTCAAGTCTTTGACTTCTGGGTCTCCTTTTCCTTTTCCAGGTCTGATGGTATTATATACAATATGAGTTTTAAAGTCCAGGAAAAAATCGTGACTCAAAAGAGTTGCTCCAAAAGCTGTTGGATTTTTCTGGCATCTTTAGTTATTTTTATAAAATCTGAAGGAAGGTAAATATCTTGACCCTTTAACTTTCTTTCAATAAGACAATGAGCACTATCACAAGGCATTTGTGTGTGGCCTTTTACAAGAAATTTTTGTTCAATGATAACTCCATATTTTATTGAGAAATGAAGAAGTGCGTTTTCTATTATTATATTCCTGTTTTGATAACCACAACCATCAGAGTATAATATAATTGGTCTTTTATCATTTATGCAAAATTTTTCCAAATGTTTGATAATTATTGTTGTAAATATTGATGCTTCCAGTTCATCCTCACCCTCATGCCACCAATAGTTTTCACAGTGGCCTGTACTGTTGTTATACAATGTCATATTATGAACCTTCAGCTTCATTGAATAATATAGGGCACTGTTTTGTAAATATGGACATAATTTAACAGCCTGGCTATCCATTGTATATAAGTAGCATTTATTTTCTTTGGCTAATAGAGTGTCTTTTTCCAATTCTTCCCTAGCTCTATTTTTATGTGCAATGTGCTCAGCAAAGTCATCTTCCTCAACTTGTCCCATTTCATATGATGAACAATAATCACATTTATCTTTTCTTGGCATAAAAATAGAAAACTTTTTTTGTTTCATAAAGCTGTAAAAATAACAAATACTTAATGGTATAATACTGTCTTCAGTGCATTTGGATTTGTAAAGTTCAAAAACTTCTGATTTATGCATAAATGGACCTTCTAAGTAAAGCCTATTGGTTTTTTTCCGACAATAATGTGAAGGCATTTTAGCTAGACTGGAAAACCAATTTTCTAAGTGATCAATTCTTTTGTTTATTGCAACCCTTTTAGGTGTAATAATAATATTATCATTACTAATGTCGTTGACTTTTGTTTTTTTCCCAGCTAGTCCATGAGTTGATTCCTTTAACCAATTGTGCAACATCCATTCATTCATATCAAGTGTATTTAAAAACATTTTCTTACAAACTTCCATAGGCTCTTCATAATCTTGAAGTTTAAAATAGTACTTAATAGTATTTAATCTTCTGCTTGAATCGCCTAATCCAGTAGTGTCTCTTTGTGTTGGTATTTTCTTGACCATGCCTACTACAAACAATTTTTTCTCCTCCCATGATGCACTCCAAAAACTGTTGAAAATTTCTAATCTTCTGGTTTCATCAAAATAATCGCAGAAACGGTTTTTAGAACTTTGACATTTTTTTGAAGAGCATGTTTCTTTAATTTTTCTGGCAGACCTTTCTTTTCTTGAAACAGTTGCATTTTTACCTTTTTTTGTATACCCAAGATATTGTTGACCATTCATTCTATTTTTCTTAGTTGTTTCACTTTTCCATTTATTTTTCTTTGAAGTTGGACTTCGACGTTTTATATTTTCACCAATAATATTTTGACCTGCTTCAAGTTCTAAGCTTAAAATATAATTGTCGTTTATTTGAACTTCATTGTTTTCATAAACCAAATTTGTATAATTATTTTCATAAACCAAATTTGTATCTTTTATTTCATAAACCAAATTTGTATCATTTATTTCAACTTCACTGTTCTCACAAAACAAATTGGTAGAATTGATATTGAATACCTGTTCTTCATTGTTGATAGCAATTTCAGAAACATCCATTGGAGAAACAGAAGATGATTCTAATGTAGGAAAATATGATGAATTATGGTCAACATCCATACCTTCTTTTGGGAATTCAAATACAATTTCTGAATTTAAAATGACGTCTTCTATAGTTAACAGAGGATTATCAGCTGAATTACTAACTTGTGGTGTGTTTGAATCAATAGCCATATTTAAAATCTTGTTAAGTCGACTTCTTGACGTCATGATGTTTGTTGACAAGGTAACCACTAAATCACAATTGAAAAATAATAATAGAATAGAATAGAATAATAAAATAATAAATAACAATGCATACCCCCAAATTATGAAAACTTACCTTATTAATAAAAACTATTATTTATGTAAAAACATCACGTATCTGCAGATAAGCTTATATATCTTATATGTCTAAAACCCCTTATCTGAAATATATAATAAAGGTTCAATTTAAAAGGAAAATATTCACTTCATAAATTAGCGAGACGAAAAAATAACTAAATAAGTACGTTATGTGCATTATTAATATAATTTAATATCATTTACCTTATTATAAATAGTCCATAACATGGATTTCGTTACGAGTGTGTAATACCTGTGCTGACCACATGTAAATAATGTCAGTTACGTGTTTTTTCACTGTCTTCGTATGTTGATAACAGATAAGTGATATTAGTCGAATCGACATGGAAGAAAAACTACAAATATCTTAGCAAAATTGATTCGATAATTAAATCCGCAAAGAGATTCTACAAATTTTGATGTAAGAATCTCATTTTGTCAAAATTGCAGATACGTGTTGTCAGTGTTAAGGTAGCGATATGAAATAACAAGCAATTTGGTATTTCGTCGTGATATAGTGCGCGTAGGTTATGCTGTTGTAACCCTATGGTTTTGCTAAGTTCCTTAATGAAAATTTGTTGTTTCATTCTAAAACAATAAAGAGAAAGATAAGGATAGAAACTAGAAAACCGTGGATATTTGCATGCGTTTATGAATGCTTTTGTTGATAAGAAATAAGATAGATTTGGCTAATTCTCAAATTGATAACTTGAAAACTTCGTAAAAAAAATTAATAACATTATTATGGGAAATTTAAGAAAATTTAAGAAATTATTGTTCGTCATCGTTATCGTCGTAATAACGTTTGACGTTATTTTTATGAATTCTATATTCACGACGCCCTTTCTGGACAGTTATGTTTTCGTTGTCGTGTACTAACAAAATTTCAAATGGTCCTTGCCAGTTTAGACCTAGTGCGTTCTTTTTATTTTGTTCTTTAATCAGAACCTTATCGCCTACGTGTAGTTCGATAGCGTTCATAGTTTTATCATAATATGTTTTGTTAGACTCTTTTTTCTTAATTAGATTTTCCCTATCTATCTTATGCGTTTCTTGCATAATCCGTTTAAGATCAAAAACGTAATTGTCGTAATTATATTGTGGTTC